GCTTTCATAATCTACTTCAAGAAAATGCATCATTTTGCCTTATGGATCTTGTGTTTTGCATTTTATACTTGTTTATGGCCACTAGAGATTGCTTTATTTGTTTATGTCTTCAACAGACACACAAGTGGGCGAACTGTGCACGTAAGGATCCCCTCAAGAACTATGAGCTATACTACGAAGCGTTTGCTAGTAGGCGGGCCCGTGGTTCATTTGAAGCGAGTTTGGAAGAGAATGATAAGGAAGGTGATGTGTCTGAGCCGCTAGTAGGGGAGCATGATGTTGATGGCGGCAATTCGCAACATTTGGAGGGTGAGGAAGCATTTATCAACACAATGAGAGGGGCATTAAACTCATCAACTCGTCTCCTGCACATGGGCTCGTCATCTCGACATATAGCAAAGCACAGTAGCCGAAGTGGAGCCCGATGTATGGATCCCGAGGCAAAATCTATTTTAAAAAGTATTGCAACTACGCTGAATTAGCGACATAATAGTCAAGGTACAAGTTCAGGTGCTTCTCAGCGTGTGGAATCCCAACGAACAACCTTCCAGAAGTGTCAGGCTGTTATTAGTGAGATGTTGTTGGACGATGAACAAAGCGTGTTGTTGATGGAGTATATAAATTGGAACCCTAATTGTCGAGAGATGTTCTTGGGCATGAACGAGAGTCAAATGTTGTTTTATGCATTGAGAACATTGAGAACCATACCAAAAAATCTCGGACCTAACGTGCAGCAATAATATCCATATTATACGAACCCCGCTCCACCATATATGGGTTCGCTTGCACATTTTCACCCACCGGTCCAAAACTTCTCACAACAACAGCCTCATTTTCCCTAAGTACCATCTATCTTTAACCTACCACAACCTTCTTTCCAACAACCTACTCCTACTAGCCAACAACCCTTTCCTAACTTCTAAAATTTCCCACCATTCTTCGTGAACCCCCAATTCCCACCCCCACCCGGCCCCTTTGGAGGAACTAGAAGTGATGAGATTTAAGTTGAGTGTTCTTTTTTCAAGCGTGATTTCTTTTTCCATTTGATTGTGATGTAGTGTCTTTGTTTCTTATCTGAAATGATTATTTTTCATTTCAATTTGACATTAGCTTTAGCTAGCGTGTTAACTTTGTGAGTGTGTTTCAGGTTGCATTGTATACTTTGATTTAAAACGTTGATTTCATGTTATGCATAATTAATTCTGTACCATTGTTCATTCTTTTCATTTCAAATATTGGTTTGTATATTGTGAATGTATTGGCAGACAGAATGTGGAGTGGCAGATCATCAAACGCGGGAAACAATGGTCCACCCGAATATGACTCTGATGATGACTACATTCTTAGAGCAACCGCTGATGCGGTATTTTATACGGCGTACTTGGAACATCCACTTCTGTCTCCTCGAAATAATAGTCACTACACAGGTACACAGCGTCTAAGTGATTTGTTAAATGGACACGAGATAGTAATATACAATAAGATTAGGATGGGCAGCGATTGCTTTAGGTGACTGAGTTGGTTACTCGAGCAAAAGAATTTATTGATGAGTACTAGAAATATGAGTGTTGATGAGCAATTGATCATTTTCTTGACAATTGTTTGCCAAAGCGAAAGTAATAGAGAGACACATGGCAACACTCGGGGGCTACAATTTCAAAGTACTTCACGGTAGTGTTGAATGCCATATATCATCTGCAGCATGATTTTATTAAGTCACCTGACTTTAACCGCTTCGATCCACTTATTGAGGCAAGTGGGAACAAGTACAAACCTTGGTTCGATGTAAGGCATACCTTTTTTTTTTTCTTGTTCGTATTTAACATTATGATAACATAATATTTTGAGATTCATAATAACGTTTATTCTATTTGTCGCATAACTGTGTTGGCGCACTCGACGGGACGCACATTCCATGTGTACCACTGCCAGAAAATGCAGAGGTCTGGAGAAATAGGAAGGGATTCAACTCACAAAATGTTTTGGGAGTGTGTTCCTTTGACATGAAGTTCACGTATATGCTTGCCGGGTGGGAGGGTTCTGTTGGTCGCCGAATCGAATCCGGCTGCGGAAGCGTGGTGGTGCGGGGAAGAGGCGGATCGTGTATAACAAAAATTTTCATAAAACTTTTGAGATACTCTATAGATTATATTAATTTATGCACGAATAAATTAATCTCATTAACTTATATATATCAAGAACTCAATAAGGAAAAATACCTAGAAGCCGACTCGGATGATAACTTGAGTTCTTTGACCACGAACAATCCTTGCTCCAATCTTTGTGTTTAGAAAACCAATGTCTTCCACATCAATTCCTAGAATCCACGAAGACGTGTGTGTGGGCACACATGAGACAAAACGGGTTACAATTAACACTCGAATTTCCACAAACACCAACGCATGCACGATGTGGAATTTTTGGAGAAAAAAAAAATTTTTCCTTCCTCTCTCTCTTGAGAATTTCGGCCAGCCTTAACTCTTAGGGCTGAAAATTTGTTTCTAAAATTAGGGCAAAAAATCATTCCGAAAATTGTCTCAAAAATAGTATTTATAGAGTAGAAGTCAAACTTCTAGAAAGAATCCAATCTTTATCTCCAATTTAAATTTCGAAGATTTGTTCAAATTCAAATTTAAATAATCACATTATTTACATAATAATTAATTCTCAATTAATTATTTTTTTGAGTATTTAATTTTAGAATTCTGTAATTCTAAAATTCTCGTTTTGCCCTCTGTGTCTTGTAGAATTACTAGGACGACGCGGGGACTAATGGACCTATAATCCCGAGCTCCAAATTAATAATCAATTAAACACTTTAATTAATTAATTAATTCTATTAATTCCAATAGTTACTCCACTATAAACTTGGAATTGCACTCTCGAAATTTATAAATTACATTACTTCTAAACTGTGAAGTGTCCATTTGATATAGTCATTGCATATAGATCAACGCTCCATAAATAATTCATAATTAGAGCAAGGTAAAATCCGTTAACCTCTCTAATTACTTCTTTATCCTTGAGTACCATTGGTTCTCTAATGGACAGTGATTCATAAAACACATTCATGAATCGGAGCTCCTACTGATCCAAGTACCGAATCAACCCTTAAGAGAATTATTTATCTACTTCTTTCTTAAGAAGGAATGGATTCCATCTCGTGTAATAACATTCCCGGCTACCTACTTCATCATGTCTCCAAAATACAAAGAATAGGATTCAGGATCTCAGAATCCGTACCGAGTAAATCAAAAGACACAAATCCATAAATAGGAGTCTGTTAAGAACTCAGGATTAAGATCATCCTATATATGACCATCGGTAGACTCAATTAGAATTTCTATACTTAACGGAATTATTAGAAATTCATATTGTGTCTGTGTCCTTGTTCCACATAATCTCATTACGCGAAATACACTCATTCAATATCTCACCATATTAACAGTGCGGATAACACCGTTCCATTCTAAATGGGAATGACATGTATTAATAATGTTTTAAATAAAGAGTCCAAACTTTAATTAAATTCATTATGAACATTGCTTTGTAATTATTATCCTTAAACATTATCCTCTCTTATATAACACTTATATACAATGTTTTAAGGTTACATAAATAATCATGGAATTTTTATTGATATTCATAAAATATTCATAAATATATGCACATAAAATAATGAATAAACTCTTTTATTAAATAAATAATAAATATCCTATTACATCTCATGCTTCTAGGACACTATTCCCAACAGGTTCCGCGCACAACGCATGAGTTCTTGAATCAACACTTGAAACGTGAGCAAAGAAATTCCCTGTCCCTCCACCATGTACACACAAATCTTAAAATGGGTAATAATTCGAGTTTGAATCTGTGTGGGTTTAAAAAGTTCGTACAAGTATGCTAAAACAATTTTTGTTCCCACCATGTAGAAAAATTTTATTTAGTAGACTCCGGTTACGCAAACACAGGTTGTTTCCTAGCTCCTTGTCGCGGTTCTACGTACCACTTGTAATAGTATAAGGCACGTCGAGGTCGACCTCGAAGTGAGCGAGAGTTATTTAACTACACTCATTCATCGCTAAGGAATTGTATCGAGCGGACGTTCGAGGTGTGGAAAGATAATCAACACTATTGCTTACGCGGATTCCTCATTCTAAAGATAATCAACAATTACCCGATGAAGAAATAAGCGAGAATACCTATTGCTTACGCTGTGATACATAACTTCATACGCATGTATCAACATGATGACAACTTCATAAATTAATACTTACAAGATGGGATACCCGTAAGTGAAATTGACCCCCTGAACGTGGATGAGGATGTCAATCAAAATCCTAACTCAGATCGGAGTACGGAAGGACCAAGAAATACCGCGAGTCGAAAAGAGATGGATCTTATGAGGGATGAAATAGTAAGAACTATGTGGCAGGCTAATGGTGGAAATAACAATCGCTAAATAAACACGTATCAGTTACCATGTATGAAATGTTTTGTAACAGGTAAATCGAGTCATTTGAGGTAATGTGTATTTTCTCATTTTTTTTCCTATTTTTGAAATTTTTTTTTTGGTTGTGACAGGTAATTTCCTCCTTCATTAATTAGTTACATGTATTAACCTATGAATATAACATTTTAAAAAAAATTATAAACGTGGAATGTTCTTCAATTTGAATAACGGAAGTTATTTTTTTCCTTCATTTTATCATATAAATGGAAAAGAATTGAGATAGTAGTTGGAATAATAAATCTGTAAAATGAACACATCACAGTTTGAATTGTGGGTCAAACTTGTAGCTCAAATAGACTCCTAAAACACTAACTCTTATTCCAATTACAATTCTAATCTAGATTCTGACTCTAATTATAACTTTGACTCAAATTGTAAAATTTTAATTGGTGAAGTGAAGACCTTAAAAATACAAAATATTAAAAATACAACTTACCAATATGATATTTTTTTTTTAAATATAATAATTTTTTTTAGTACAGTTTTTGGGGAAGAAAGAAGAACGAAGAAGAAGAAGAAGAAGAAGGAGGGATGAGCTCGAGTGAGACGAGGCCGGTGCCGAGAAGAGAGAGCCCATGGGGAATGCCGGAGGGAGACCACCGCCAACCCAAGGCTCATCGCTGCAATGACAGAGCTGAGGATGTCATCCAAGTAAACACCCCTATTCATTCTTTTATTAATCTCTCCCTCTATTTCCGATTACCTTTTCAGATCATTCTCTTCATCAATTTTCACCATATTTTCCCAATTCCACATCTAATTTCTTTGCTTGATTTTTTTTCTTTAGTATTTAATATGGATTTGTGTGTTTTGGCTGTTTGTAACTTTAGGTGATTAAGGGTTTCTGTTTGTTGGGTGTTCATTTATTTATTTATTTTTAGCTGTATCATCTCCTTCTTATAATTGACAACCAACATTAAAAGGAGTTCTTTGAAAAAAAAAAACTGAAAATTGGGATGTGGGTTTTGAGGATTTGGTGTGAATTTGTTGTATATGCTTGTTATTTGTGGAGATTAAGGTGTGAGTGGGGGAATAGGGAAAAGGGTTAAAAGGCTTATGAATGCAAAAGGGACAAACTTGCCGAATTCATTTTCTACGCTTCTGTTGAAGTTTTGGTAAAGTTTTGTGAACTTTAAGTTGAGCCTGAACTATAATTCAGGGGCGTAAATGATTTCGAAGGAGACCTTATTTCATTTCACTTTTGGGCAATCAACGGAAAATATAGTGAATGATTAAGAAAAGTGAGACAATTTGATGAAATATTGAAGAAAATCTGACAGTTTAGAACTGTTTCTTACATGGAGGGTATTTTTTTTATATCCTACCGCAGAACGCAGTATTGTGATATTGTGATATAATTGTTTTACGATTTCACTTGGCGAACTTCTACGAATGTAGCACCATGCTATTAAGTATTTTGAATTGAGCTCTTTTCTTTCCAAGAACTCTAATATAATAAATTGGTTGAACCTTAATGATGATATGCTTGTACTGCATTATATGTCCCATAATAGGTCCCGTTATTCTAAGTTGATTTGATCGGGTGTTATGTAGGCCTGTTTTGAAGGAAATCCGTTTAAGACAGTCCCAGGACCTTTCAAGCTCTTCTGGCAGTGCATGCGTTCTAAACCCGGGTATGGCTTACCCGACCCTTTATAAACTAGTGTTCTCTTCACATTCCTAGTATTGGGGTCTCTTTATTTTTCAAAGAGACTTATCTTGCTTTCAGCAGAATCCATTGATGTTGTTGTATCTACATTGTGGTAATAATTGTTCCCCAAGTTTTTAGATTGACCATGAAAAGGCATGCCATTGCCATCATATTTAATTATATATCCCCTCCCCTTCTGTAATTTCTTGTGCAGGGAGGAACCAACAGAGCCGTATGCGTATCTGGAGCTGGATCCTCCGAAGAGAGAGGTGAAGCTTGAGTAAAAGCTTTGAAGCAAATTTTTTGTTAGGTTGAGTTTTGTGGTGTCTGAGTTCCAAGCATCTGTTATCAGTCAGTTGTTTATCTAATAATCCATATATGGAAACCAAGGCTAATTAACCAGGGCTTTCTACAGATTCTAAAGTCTTAGCTTCAAAAGTTTCTCTGGTGTTTTCTGCTTGCACCATTTGTTGCAAAGCAAAACTTTTGTCATTCTCTATCATCATATGAATGGCAAAATTTTCTTTTTTTATCATTCTATTTCTCTCCTGGAGTACAAATTACAATAATTTCTCCTCTTAATGTTCTGTATTTGCTGGCCGGAAAACCCATTATGCAGAATCTTATTACAACTTTATTTGACAGACAGCACCCAAAGCAGTCTCCTCTAGCAATCTCGTCCAAAGTAGGATGATATGCCACTCATCGCTTTTGGTTGCTCTTGCTGATGAATCACAAGAGAACTGTTTTGGTTCCTTCCAAATTCATGAATTCATCTAGATTTATGGCATAGTTCTCTATGCTCAAAGTAGATAAAAAGCTCGCGCATTTTTCTGTTCTTTTTTATTCGGAACTCTTTCTGAATCTGTTGAGCAACAAAATGTCATATTCATGGATGGAGATGTGGGCTCTCACCGCCTCAACCTTTCTCCAATACATCAAATGAAACAACTTGAAATAACTTTTAAATAACTTCCGCTGAAATTGGAAAGGTTCTCTCTATACACAAGATGATAAAACAGATTAGAAATCAATTATTGGTTCCCCAATGGTGAGATTGCGCTCCACGGTCCATGGCAGGTCAAAGATCTTGGCTGTGATGAATTTGAAGACTTTGTTTACATTAATGTTGTAGGTTGCACTAGAAAAGAAGAGTGTTGCATTGAGGGCCTTTGCATACGATCTTGCCTATAAAACATAATACACAAAACCAAATCATTTAAAAACAAAAAATCAAATTGAAGTTCTCTCTCATGGCATTTTCAAGGTTCAATGAACAGCAGTCAGCATTATTTTCTCAGGAAAATGAATTATTTGTTATCCTAGAAAAGTTAGGTGTCGTCTTTTATTGGACCATCTACGTGGGTGGTTCAGATTAACCACAAATACAAACGAATCCTTTCTTGACAAGTGAATCACAGACATTGGGGGTCCATAGGGGGTCTAATATAAAATTATGTGGCTGGAGTTGTTTTTCGTTAGTACATAGGTTTAATTTTAAAGTTGAAACTGTTAACAGATCAATCATCAACGGCCTTTTTTTGTTCTGTACAATCTCTGTTCCTTTGCCTAAAGTTTCGTATGTTTGAAAATATCTTGTTTTATATATTTAAAAAAAAATTGGAAAATATCTTAATTTGGGTGGTCAGTATTTGCGGCCCTAACGGAATTTGCATGACAAATGGATCATTCTTAGAGGCCAAGCAAGCTAAGAAGGATGCAACATCCTTGACTTTGATACATCACAAAGTCTTCTTGGCCATTATATGATAGCTCCAGATTGGTTTCATATCACTATGTTCATATGCTTTTACTAAACTACGTTTTTTTTTTGTTTTTTTTTTTTTTTGCTTCATATTAATATATACAAATGCTATTACTAGACTCCTTCAATCATTGAGAAGACAAAGCCCGTGTAGTTAATCATTAGAGATTACATCGTTTTATTATATGTAATGAATAACCATGATTTCTTGTCAAGATCATTTGAAAATTTCATGGCCGAAAATTAGATATCAGTCTCCTCCATCTACTAGATAAATATCTTTCTTACTAAGATGTAAGATAATCTATATGTGATTTCCATTTCCAATCTGAATCCTCAACTTGGGAAAGTTAAAAAAGAAAAATCATGGAATAAGATTGAGATATTTACCTGACTTGCAATTGTCCATTGCAAATCTATAGGAAGTTGGATGAAATCATCAAACTTTGTTCCAATTAAAACTGGAATTGCCGTCTAAAAACAAAAAATGTAAGAATCATCACCTGGGGTTACATACATTAATACAACAAAAAAGTTGGGTCATTTTTTTTTATAGGGAATAAAAATTGTAAAATTACCTGATTCCATTTACGAGCTTCTTGATACCATCCTATGACACTGCAATAATTCGAATAAATTCCTTTTAGACAATGTAGCATCTTTTCACGTTCCCAAATCATCAATTTTAAGAAATCTAAGGTAATTAAAATAATTGAGACCAAATAACATGGATAATTACAAAACTACCTATTTAAAGTACACCGACTGGTGAGATCAAACATGAACAGAATTGCCACAGAATCTTTACAGGCAATAGGAATATGATCCTGGGATTTCGTATCACCTACATTAAAAATGAAAATTATTTTATCATATTGTAATAACTATTGCAGAAAACGTTCGCATTTGAAATTTTGAGTCATTAAAAAAAAAGAAAAAAGACATTACCTCCAACTTCCCAAATGGTATAGGAAATACGAGCACCTCCAACAAATAAGGTCTTATCAATCGAACTCAATCCGTTTTCCAGTCCTTTTCCTTTCCCTTTCCCTTTCTCGTCACCCACATATTTTACCTTCAACCAAACACACACACAAGAGAAAATCAAACCAAAAGTTTCTCATCAAAACAACAAACAAAAAATAACAATTAAAAAAAAAAAAAAAAAGCTAAAATCAGACACCAGAAAATTTTGCGCGATACAGAAGCTGAATATTCAAAAATTTAGGCAAACATAAAATTATAATTTGCACCAACCAAGAAGCTGGTCTTTCCGATATTGCAATCCCCTAGGAGGCTGATCTTCAGTTGGACCAAATCTGAGTCGGCGTCGAGGTCACCGAGAGCCTCCGGCAGCGGCGGCGGTGATTCATAAGCGGCAGCGGCAGCGGCGGCGTCGGCTACTGCCGGAGGAGACATGATCATGGCCTGAGGGAGCATCCGGTAGCGGACGGTCTTGCCGAGGCAAGACATGAAGAGACGATCCATGAGGCGACGAATGCACCGCCGGAGAACCAACATCCGTCGCTGAATTCTTCGCCTCAGGCACAGCTCTACCATAATTCGAACCTCCAAAGAGGAAAATCTGAAAGAAAAGACAGAAAATTGGAAAATGAGGCGATTTTGTTTCCTTTTTTTTTTTTTTTTTGAAATTGGAATTTGGATGGCCTTAGGAGAGAGCTTTGGTGTCTTGTCCTATTTTAGCCATGAAAATTGGAAGCTGAGGAGCTTCTCTTGAGAACTGTTTGTTTGGTATTTTTAGAATATAAAAAGGTCGTCTTTATTTTTTTTTTTTTTTTTTTTTTTGGGGTTTGTTTTCTTTTCAGTTACCAAACGGCTTTTTTGTCATCAATGTGGGCTTTTTAACGGATGGTTGACCGGCAATTTTAGTAACCAAATCTTTTTTATTTGTCCAAATTGCCGGCTTTTACTGCTTTGTTTTCTCTTATTTTCAGGGGTAATTTCGACATTGCAGTCTATCTATTTTAGGGATAGATTGATTTATCCTGCAAATGTAAAGATTTCCAAGTGTCCTATAAGTTAAGAATCTTCTGAATATAAATATGAGATTTGGTAGATCCTCATACTTGTTTGAATATAATAATTGATTCCCACATTTTTTGGTTTTTTTTTTTTTTTGACCTTTGGGAAAGTAGTGGAACTCCTTGTTTCAAGATTAGTGTTAAGGTGGCTGACCACCTATACATCCTATTAGGGGATTAATCATGCATTTTTTTTAATCAAATTCAACTCAATTTGAAGAGATAATGAAGTGTCTATACTTAAGTGGTAAGGTTTAATGGTGGGTAGGAAAAGTAGTGGGGGGTTACTTGATTAATTTTCATAACCCAAATCCAAACCAAGTGGGCAAGCGTGTGTTTGGTCAAATAAGTTTTGATTTAGCTATGAACACTCCACCATCAATCAACTTGAATATGATCACATGAACCTTCTAAATTGACCAATTTGTAGATGAATGGCATTTAAACTAGTAGGGTAAATGGATAGTAATTGTGAGAATTTCTAAAAATAGTACCTTAGTAACTTTTTCCTAACTATGTTGCATGCCCCTTTTCTTTTTTAGTCAAGAAAACTATTTCCCAGAAACACTTTTTGGAGTAAAGATTCGTATCATGATTCGAATCATAATTTGTGACTCGTTACAATATTTTTTCTGACAAAAAAACACACGTAAACCGAACATAGTTTTGAATACATGAATCAAACATCCCCTTATTTTGATCTATGAATTGAAAAAAATAAAAAAATAATAAAAAAATCACTCTTTCTTTTTGAGAAAATGTAAATGTTGAACCAAGAACCAGAGAACCCTTGATACTTTTTGGGCTCCACTACAATAAGTCAATTGTTCTCCATCATATTTGTTATTTGTATTTACCTCCAATCTTAATGCTAATAATTAATTAGTAATAATTACTAAAGAGCTCGGGACGAGGATAGGGAGACCCTCCTCATTGTACCCCTTAAAAATCCACCAAACTAATTAATGATTTATTTTTCATGAACGTGGATTTTCGGTAGGTGTGGTTTTGAATTTCAGACTCTTAAACACGAGGAATTATTCAGTGCATTAGGTGTACCACGTTATATTATTAATGTGATACACTTATTTAATGAGATTGTATTATTTAAATATTTTGTCTATGTCAGTTTTTTACTATTATTTTTCTCTTTCTTAATAGATATTTGCATTGATTATTAAGTCAAAAATACTTATTATTCTACCCAATTTCTTTATTTTAATGACTTAACTTTAAATTTTTATTTTTATTATTAAAATACAATAATCAAATTTCTCTGAATGTCCCTTGCTATTCCAACGGCTGAGGAAAAAAAAAAAGCTTTCTATCATTCATCTGCTTTATATGCACAATTCAATTTGGCCATTGAAGAGTTAAAGGCAAGATAACAAAGAGCACAACAATATGGAAATTGAAAAAGGTATTAATCTATTCAAAGTTTTGTAAGCAGGTCTTCATTTTTTTATTTATTTTAAATAGTTTTGAGCATTTGGGTAATGATTCTTTCTTTTATATATATATATATATACACACACACACACACACACACACTCACACATTTGTTTATTTGTTTTATACCATTGTCATCTTCATATATTTATTAGAAAAAAAGAATCTTGATACATACATAGCATTTAAGCTTTTATTTGCTTGCGTTTTTCTTTATATATTTTTTTCCCCCTTGCTGTGCCGTTGAACGGCTTTAAATCTTTTGTTTTTTTAATGCGCTCAATTTGGAACGAAATGGACAAGCAAGAACGATAGTTCATGAAAGATTGAATTTAAAATGTATATGAATATATTTAACTCAAAGTAAGGAACGTATAAAAAGTAGAAGTATTATTAAAAATATATATATGTTAGCAACTTAAGTTAAAAAAAAAAAAAGAAAAAAAAAAGAAGAAAGTTCAGCCGATGGAATAGTAAGGGATGTTCAGAGAAATTTTATTATTATATTTTAGGAATAAAAATAATAATTTAAAGTTAAGTCATTTAAATAAAGAAATTGGGTAGAATAATAAGTGTTTTTGACTCAATAATCAATACAAATACCTATTAGAAAATAAAAAAATAAAAATAAAAAACTGACATAGACAAAATATTTAAATAGTATAATTGTATTGGACGGGTGTACTACATAAATAATATGATGTGGTATACCTAGTATACTGAATAATTCCTCCTTAAACACATAGGACGTAAATAAAATATCTTACACAAGAAAATGTTGCACTTGCACTCAAATGAAAAAGGATTATGAAAACACCCGGGGTTAGCATCTTAGATTAAAATAATTAGTTCAACAAAATACGAGTACAATAATAAACCTTCAACAGTCCCATAATTTATAAAGCCTTTCAACTTCAAATGATTATGATAATATTCCACGTCGCCAACGTTGCACGCATTTTCCATGGAAGAGAACATTAACTAATAAAAAAAGAGATATAAATATTATTTATTTACTGTTCTTTACCTTAATAATTGAAGAGAATACGTGGAACAAGGTGAGGCCAAAAAAAAAAAAAAAAAAAAAAATTGAAGACACTAGATTAATTAAATGATTATGAGGTAAGACAGAAAGTGATCTCATCTGCATTCTTGTTATGTATGTTGGTGAAGCTAGCTCAATTGCGGTTGATTCTAAATAACTTTCTGAGCAGCCAAACACAACTTTATATAGCAGGATAATTTATCTCTCTGTGTCGTTATCAAAAAGGTTAAGTGTAAGTCATAAAAGTTGAAAGAGAAAGGGCAAGTTTAGAAAATTTTCATTCATATTTTGGAAGATATTTGTGAATTGAAACACATTGAAAAGACATCTATCTACATTTGAGAAACTATAGGAAAGAGTTGTACAAAATGGTCTTAAACTGTGATGTCAGGACTCTCTTTCTTTCAAAAAATAAAGTGTGAACAATTTTTATTCTATCTTCCTAATTGTATCAAGAGAATCATAAATATATATATATATATATATATGAGTATAGTATGTTTTGTGAGGAAAATATTCTTCAATGAACAGTATTAGGCTGCACATCAGAGCTTGGGCTAGCCTGTTGTTTGGTGTCACTGTGTTTTTTCTTAAGCTTCTGTTTAATCTCTGCTTCCTTTTTATCTACAAAATTTTTGAAGTCCTTGAAACTGGTTGAACGAATGGTTCGTCGAGAACTGGCATTGACAGGTTCAATCTCCTCGATATCATCTTCCCGATCACCGTCAGGGACAAACTTTTGGAATTGACAGCAGATTCTACAGAAGAATATGGTAAGAGCAATGAAGCACGCAATGCCTGATATAAGGAACAAGCCCCAGAAGCTGGTGAGAGACAGTCGGTTCGCGTCCTCGTCATTGATCTGCATGGAGCATTCTTGAGTGGGAAGCCATTTGTTGCGAAGCTTCTGGAGATCGCCGTTCTCGGAGAGTTGTAGAATGGCAGTTGACAGGTCAACTGCCAGAGGTGAGTCCCTTTGGAACGCCTGCAACAATGTTAACTGAATGAGATAACATTTAACCATATTGTATGTGTCCTGTTAACTAGAACTAATACATTACTCACAAATCCCCATCCGTTTTTCGTAAACTCCTGTCCCACAGTCCGGTATTGACAATTAGTGCTTGACATGAATAGCTCAATGTAAGGAAGCTCGTCGACAATGGCAGCTACTCCACCGGCTTTTGGTCCAAGCCTAAGGGCTTCACCATAAGCTTCCTGGTTTTTTAACTTAACAAGCCTAGATTCAGCAATGTTGAGCTCATTAACCACATATTTCCATGCAAATGACCCTTCTTGAATTCCAATAGGATCATTGCTTGATATCAAGCTGTCTATCCCTTCAATTCGAGATGTCAGCTGTTGCACTGTGAGGATCGATGTCAAACTAGCTGTATAACTTGAGTTGATAATTAACACCACAAATAGCCATATAATCAGCACAAAACGTCCCAGGGTGCTGACAGTGTTCTCTCCTGCACCATGTTCAAGCAGAAAATAAGTTTAGTTCAATATGTTCAAGGGATTGGTTTTTTTTTTTTTTTTTTTTTTTTTTTTTGCCTTCAGGGGCTAATAATTTCATGAAGATTCAGCATGAAGTACTTACTGTGTGAGAAAAACATCGTTGAGAAGCTGAACCTGAGAGGTAAAATAAAAAAAAAGTCAGTATCAGTACTCAACTACTTGTGGCATGATGCAATGTCAAGCAAAAGGCTAGATAGAAATAATCATCCAAGTCTAACTACATATTTCAAAATACTTGTGACTAAAAGTTGTACATTCATATTCTTAAAAGTTGAGAATTCATGATATGATCTTTCAAGCGTGCAAGATAGTATCTTACTCAGATCAATGTTATTGGTGGTTTTCAAATGAACAAATGTAGGCATAAGATGGCATATACTAACCAAAAAATAGTTATGAGTTGTTTCCTTGGCGAACCACGAAACTCATGGTTCATCCTGTGCTCAAGAATCCAAACAACAGCCCCCACAAAAAGGAAGAAGCCGGCAGTAACAAACCACATAGACAGAGTAAATGGCTTGAGGAAAGCCCAAGGATATGACTTTTCCACTTTGACAGGAGCAACTACGACAAGTCCTGATTCCGTGTAAGGCTGTGTAAAATCAACGATCTTTGTCCTATTTGTAGTAATTGTAATGTCTCCAACGGCTGCATCATATTTCTGAAAAAGGAGGAAATTCTATCAAGTTAGATGGCAGAGTTCAAACATCATAAGTATTGTGTGTTATGTATGAATACGTGTGGATGTTTGTGCTAAAGTAGTTATCAGACTTTACTCCTTATACCAATAATGTTCCTAAATTGGATCACTGCAAGTTAAAAAGTAATACTTTGAAGCCAAAATACTTACATTTTCTGCAACCTGGTACACAATCTCATTGAACTCCGGATTTCTCTTACCATCTCCAAATAGCACATATGTCCTTGGCACAGGATAAGGCAATAATTTTATGGCAGCTTCAAAAACGTCGATACAAAATCCTTTCACTCCTGGAGGGTCCTTGTCTTTAACCACAAAGGCTTTGTAACTTACTCGGTTGGGCACTGCAATTCGTAGTGGCTTGCCATTGTTGGGAAACACCCATCCCCGAGGCGTATTTATGGTTTCACCTGGCCAAATAATGCTGTAAAGTTGTTGATTACTAGCGGAAGTATTCGGGGGCTTTGTATATACGATCTCTGGAGCGACAATCGACAGACCAGAATGGTTTGTCCAATAACCAACTCTTCGGGAACCGGTTCCACCAATATTTAGAACATCATATGCTGGATTAACTAAATTCTTATCATAATCAAACTGAATCCTCCCACTCAGACCGGTGAAGTTCATCCCAAGGATTGTTCGTAGATATTGCGGGCCTCCATTGAAAATATGTAATGATGCTAAGTTCAGTGCGCTTCTGTTCGTGTCACGCAATTTTGGGTCAATAGAGAATGATAGGTTCCCACCTTCATTGAGGAAAACATCAAGAGCACGGGCTGCTAACCAAATCGAATCATAGGCATAAAGCGCATAAGAATTGAAGCTCGCACTCGAGTCATTTTGTAGTTTTTCCCACCTAGATGTAAACTGCTTTTTAAGATCAGAATCTGGAGTGTGATGGCGAAGAGCAACGACCCCTTGTAGAAGATTCATTGTGTCGGGATCAGGCGCTTGGAATGAGTCAAGAAACGTAGGAAGCCAGTCTGTTGCAATCCAGACATAGGAACTGCCCATCATCCCAAGAGACTTTGCAACAGAAAAGATTGTCAAGCCAGTGTCAGGATTAACATGCACAACATACACCCGAGATTCCATGAGGTTTACACCGACCAATAAGTCGTTGATTTCAGCGTTTGAGGCTTTGGGGGTGAAGGCGGCCTTGTAAGAGATCTTCGCACGCTTCTTCGCCAAGGCATCACCCAACACCGAAATCCCATTTCTGCCATTATCGTCATCGACAAAGATGGCAATTACTTCTCTCCATCCATAATGCTCTACCAGATCAGCAATCGCATACATCTGAAAATAGTCGCTCTGTGTAGTACGAACAAAATACGGGTACTGCAGTGCAGAGAGAGTAGGATCTGTTGATCCAAACGATATAAGAGGTACTTGGAGTTCATTCACAACATGGGAAATGACGTGAGATATTCCCGACGACTGTGGGCCGATTGCAGCAACCACGTCCTTTTCAATCAGCTGCAAAGCTGCATTGTTAAACACACCGTCGTTAAAGATATACCATTAGTCCACATCCAATATTTACTCATCATGAGCTCAAATTTTAAATCAGATGCAATATTTCAAGAGATTCAGAAGGCAATTAAACAGGACTTCGGTGCTGCTGACCATCTGGAATAAAAGTCCTAACTAACAGACTCTTTGAATAGGATAAACTTCAAACTGTATTCCTTTTTTCTTTTATAAATAACTAAAAATAAAAAAATAAATTGTAAACTCCTTTGCTGCAGGACACCATAATATCAAGCAACTTAGAGAAATACTGGTTGAAAGCATTGCATGGAAATGCTTTTAGTGTGAGAACTACAGTGCTCAAGGGGAAGGAATCATTAAAACCAAATCATTAAGAGAACATAAAGAAAATATGATTTAAATATCAACTCCCTTTCAGTGCATAAAACGTCCTATAGGACCCTTTGAAGCATTAAAAGAAAAGATGTAACTAAATTCCAAATTCTACAACAAAACAAGCTAGACAATGGACAAAAATTATTTAGAAGAGTTTAGGGAGTTACACTCAACGGTTCCCATAAACGCGCTGCAATTGGTGTCGTGAAAAATAACATTCAATTTTGTGCCCTTAAGGATGCTGGAATCCTTATTGACATCGTCGACAGCCGCCAAAATCGCCGGTTTTGCCGACCGTCCGATGGCCGAATTGTAGGTGAAAAGAGCTCCAATGTTCACAACTCTAGGTCTTGAAGAAGAAACTGTGGCATTTCCAGTCCTTCCTATGGGAGTTGGAGTAGAAACTGTGGCATTCTTAGCCTGTCCCACCACTTGTATAGGTGCCCACAAGCAGAAAATCAACAAAAGCAGTGTTCTTGACGTGAAAACGTGACCAAAACCAGGCCTGGGAATCAACAAAATCTTCATGTCTAGAACAGCTTCCGTTGAAACCTTTTGATTCTAGACACAAAATATAAAATCAACAGAGTCAGAATAAGGAACAAAAAACCATCTTGTAGCGCTTAAATGGGTCCTGAAATTCACAGAACCAAGTTCAAATGCAAAAATTGAGCTCAAAAACAGAGATTCAACAGCAAATCGCCAAACCCAGAAAGAAAAACAGAAAAAGAAGAAAACCCAATTGAAAGAGCTCAAAATCAAACCCAGGCTATATAATAGCGCCATGGATAAGTACTAGAACTCTGATGATACCCACATGGGAACCAGAAAAATCCATTTTTTTCAAAGAGGGTATCTTCAAAAATAAGGCCATTACATTAAATTATTTTTATTTGGTCGTACTATCCATTTCCATCTCAAGAAACTGGAAAAATGTATTAAACAAATGTTATTTGGATATAAAAATGGAAAGCCACAAAACCCACATACACAGACAAAGCAAAAGAATAACAATTTTAAAAAGAGATCTCATAGGTAGAATAACTAGTTTGGTTTTAGGTGGCGGATTTGATACATATTAAGGAAGATTACCTCAAGGGACAAACTTGGATAAAAGGCTTTTCTTTGCTTTGAAACAGTTAAGTCGGCATGTTTATGGAGAGTTATATGTGCGAAGACACACAATATCTTTCTTTCTTCACAGTATCACCAAAAGACCAAAAAATAAATAAAATGAAGAAGATCAAGGTTTTAGAACAGTGTTTGAGAGCTTAAGGAAAGGATATATTCTCTTCCTTTCAGTTGTCCAACAACTGGCCAAGCTTTTCAGTTATTAGTAGGTGTATAAAGTTACTAACCCAAACTCTTATATATATATATATATA